CCAGTGGGACTCCATCAAACATACCAGTATATGCATCCTGCGAGCTGCACAAGAGAAAGAAACAGATAAAATAATTGAAGGATGACCAAAAACTTCCCAATTTTCATGTAAGCTTTACATCTGAGGATCTCAGAAAGCTCTAAGAAGGATACACTCAAAGAGATTCACACCTAGGAAGAGCACACTCAGAGGCTAAGACAGGGAGCCCTAGTGAAGAATTCTGACAGCAGAGAGAGACTCTTCACAGGTCACATACAGTGCTCCTCAGAGAGAAAAGAGCCAGCTCCCTATCTGAAACCTGGAGTCCAGAGCAGTGGGATAATGTTTGCTAAGTGATGAAAGCAAGATGTGTACCCAGATTCAACACCAGCAAAACTAGTCATAAAGAATAAAGGAAGAATTAATTTAAGTCAAGAAAAGCACAGTACTCATTTCTTTCAGGGTCTGCACAGCCCTCACAAGACAGCAAATTGCTACCCTCATCCTGAACTTCTAATGTTTAAAATGGTGAGAATTAAGTCTTGTTATTCAGAGACTAGCCCATCTGTTATATTTGTTATATCAGCTAAAACAGAAGAAGACCTGATAAGGGACTTCTCTGCTGAGCACAAAAAGAACAATTAATTATAAGTCAACACAATTACAGGCAGAAAATTCCAGGAGACTTTTCTCCAAAGTCACACCAATGGTAAACCCAAGGAAGATGTTCAACACCAGTCTACATCAGGGAGATAAGAACCACCATAGCCATGACATACCATCTGTATCAAATAAGATGACCAATTACAAAACATAAAAGTGAAACTAAGAAAAGGGCCCACGAGCCCCTTACTGCCTGGGGAGTGGAGGGGTGATGGCTAGTGGCAGGTGGGATGTTGAGGGGGAGGGGAGGGAGGGAGAGGGAGAAGGGATTGACATGTGAAGCAAGCTTGTTCCTAATTTGAACTAATAAAATAAAAAATAAAAAAAAGAAAAGCACCCACTGACATCTAGAGAAACTGAAATCCTCACACATGGCTGACAGGGAACTTGAAACAGCACTGTCTTTGCGGATAGTACTTTGGTAGTTTCTCACAATGTTAAACAGAGAAAAAAAAATATATATCCTAGAAATTCCACTCTTTGTTATATCCCCAAGAGATATGGAACCATATGTCCCCATGACAACATTTCAGGTAAACGTTCACAACAGACAAGCATCATTTGATGTATACATAAGTAATGTGGCATACCCATGTAATGGTTTATTATCTGGCCCCCAAAGGGACTGAGGCATCAGTAAATACTACAACAAAGTACCTTGACAACAACATAGGTGGTAGAAAGCAGTCACAAAAAGCCATGTACTACATAGCTTGACTTTTACAATGTCTATAATAGACAGAACTATAGACACAAAAGTAGATTAGTGGTTTCTAGAGGTTAAGGGAATGGGAAGTTAGGGGATCACTGCTAATGGGCACTGGTTTCTTTTAGGTTGCTGGTTACTTTCAAGTTGCTGTGATAAATACTATGACCAAGGTAGCTTATAGAAGAATTTAATTTGGCTTACAGTTCCAGAGAGATAAGTGTCTATCATAGCCAAGAGACATGTCTACAAGTGGCAGGAGCTGGAAGCTGAAGAGATCACATATCTACCACAAGCATCAAGTAGAGAGAAAAAATTGGAAATGGGACAGAGAGAGTGCTGGGAAGAAAGGGAGATGCCATGAGATACAGAGTGAGCCAGATGGGCAGTATGTATATGAGGTAAACGAGCACGGGGAAGCACATAAGAAATTAATAAAAAATGGGTTGATTTAAGAAAGAGCTAGTTGGTAACAAGCCTAAGCTATTGGCTGAACTTTCATAACTAATAAGTCTATGTGTGATGATTTGGGAGCTGGCAGGTAGGACAGAAAAATCGCCCCCACAGGGGGATTACATTATAAAATTCCAAAGCCCTTTCCCTATGATGTAATTCTTCCAGCAAGGTCACACTTCTTAAACCTTCCCCAACAGTGCCACCAACTGGAGACCAAGTGTTATGATGCCTGAGCCACTGGGGAACATTTATCATTCAAATCACTACATTCCACCCCTGGCCTCCTCTAAAAATCGTCTAAAACACTGCTTAAAAGTCCAACATCCAAAGTCTTTTTTTGAGACTCAAGGTGATCTCTTAGTTGCACCTGAGTCCATAGATCTAAATGCAAATTACACACTTCTAACATATAAAGGTTCAGACTACACATTACCATTTGAAGAGAGGGCAATGGGGGCATAGTGACGAGATATTGGACCAAAGAAAGACCAGAACCTATCTAGCAGGGCAAACAACAAATCTCACAATTCCAAATCAGATGTTTGGGACTTGAGCTCTGCCCATCCAACTTGACTGGCTGCAAGAAACAACCATTTTGGACTGGTTCCACTCACTGTATGCAGCTCTTCTTGGCAATTTATGGTTCTGTCATCTTCAACATCTTGGGGTCTCTACTGTAACCCAGGCTTCACTTTCCAAGTTTCACAAAATGGCCTTTCAGAGCCTTCATGCAAGGACTCCTCTGCCACACTATGCTCTTGCCTCAGTGGCTTTCTGAAATGGTGGAGGAAGAATCTATACCCCATCTCTCTTCTACCTTTTAGCCTCTAAAGCTAGCACCATATGAACAACACTGCCAAATCTGGTTGCCAATGAGGGCTGGACTTGGGCCTCCTTGAACTTCTAGTGAAGCGCTTATGTTTAGAATTGCTTTCTAGGAGCAGAGAACACCGTAGGTCTTTTCTTTTCACAAACTGGAAGCTCAGGTGGGAGGTCTTGCTCTGGGTGAACCCTTCCGTTTGTTCTGGTGCAAAGCAGATTCCTCCTTGGAGCAATCTCCCTAACAACTACAGCCTCTCTCCTAGCACTTTCCTTAGCTATAACACTAAGCACCCGAGGGCCCCTTTCCTTCCAAATCTACCTTTTGTGTTTCTGCCCCACTTGCTCTTTTTCATTATAAATATGCATGAGTCACTAATAATAACCATGCCACAGATTCAATATCATGATGCCTTATTTTCTCTGCCAAAAAATTACCCCATTAATTTTAATTTAGTGTCAGGCAAATTCTCAGGACACAGGCAAAAAGCAGCAAGATTCTTTGCCAAAATATCACAGGAATGACATGTCGCCCCATGGGCTAATATTGTTCCCTCTTAAGCTGGACCTCCAAATCCATACTGTTCTTACCACGACTGTCTTCCAGGGTCCTACTTACTAGTATGGCCCTTTAGTTCCACTTACAGCCGAAGTACAGCCACATAGTTTTGGACACAGGCAGTATGTTCCTAAGACTCTCTCTCCATTTTCCACAATATGTGTGGAGTGTCAGGCAATATGTGACTGTCATGGTTACTTCCTGAAAGGTTTATAAGTACCAGGGACTGAGGTGATGGTTTAATGGGTGACAACACTTGCTCTGTGGACAACTCATCATGTAATAATCCAAGCATGGCTACACATGCCTATACTCTAGTACTAGAGGATAGATACAATAGGATCCCAGGAGCTCAATGGTGAGCCAACCTAGGAGAAAAGGTGAGCTCTGGTTCACTGAGAGATGCTGTCTCAAGGTGATAAGACTGAAAGCAGGAGAGAAAGATACAAGTTATGTTCTGGCTTCTATGTGCTCACATACTCCTGTGCATGGACCACACACTCATGCACACGTGCACACACACACACACACACACACACAAACACTCACTCACTCATGCACACACATGCCACCCAACACATACACACACACTCATGCACACACTGCCCAACACATGCTCACATACAAATGGACCTTGCAAAAGTAAAGCCTGATCAATCTAAAGATCAATTCTGAGACGCCATGGGGAATGGAGCAACATTTGCCCAACAAAGAAACCACAGATGGAGGGAGAAGGTACCAACATTCAGTCCTTGGCTGAAAATTCTTTTTCACAAAGAGACAGAGGACTTCAAACAGACATCTTGGGCATACAGGCTCTGCAGTCTGTTAGTGGACTGGGTAATGTGCCTATATATCAGGGTGACAAGCAAACATCCCACCTTAGAGCTATGATGACATGCTCAGGGCTTGAAAAATGTCATCACCTCAGCCCTGAAGCCCAGAAACCACAACCTGCCTTTTACACCTGGACTGAGGCCAGTCCATCAGGAGACAGTGTCTGGCATAGTGAACATCAAAAGCAGACGCATGATAACACAACTCCAAACAGCACAGCACAATCCAGCATGCCACAGCACCCAGGGACTCCCCTTGGATAAAGCTGGTATCTGAATGCCAGTATCAACCACAAAGAGATTCTTGGGTACTTAGTTATCCCCCTCCCAACATTTTGTATATCTTGTAAAATTATAAACGAAAAACCACAACTGAGTTACTTGAGTTTCCAATCAAACAATTCTTCATATAATTTATAAGAAAAAGTCATTTCAAAACACAGAAAACCACCAGCTTTCTCTCTGTAACCCTAAGAATTCAGAGCTTTCCATGGCTCATGTCTGCAAGGCTGTGAAGCATCCCTCAGAAGTTCAAGGGCAACCTTATCTCTTCTTTTTCATAGAAATAACTCTTAAAATGTCAGTGTGTGTGTGTGTGTGTGTGTGTGTGTGTGTGTGTGTGTGTATTTGTGTACATAATATTCCCATCAGAGGCCGTGTTGCCTTATCTGTGAAAAATATTTCCATTTCATCCATTCCTGTTCTCAGAACAAGGGGAGAGACCATGCAATAAGATTTTGCGATGAGTTCTTCTTTACCAAGACTGTCTAAAGCCCTGGAAACACTGTCATGACTCATCAGGGTGGAAACAAGGGTTAAAGAGAGATTACCTCCAAGTGCAGTTATCCTGATTGATATATCCATAGAGGAAGCAGGCCACGCCCACCACAGCTGCAAGCAGGAGCATCTGAGTATAGTAGCCTAGCCAAGCAAAGTAGATTCCAATCTTCTCTCCATAATACTTCCTAGAGGGAGGGAGACAGGGAGAAAGAGAGAAGGTATTTTTAGAGGATCATCGCTGTGCAGCTTCATCCTATGAGGGCTGTTTGGTTTTTAAGTAAAGGAAGCTTTTTATATAAAATCCCCGATTCAGTTCACGGCGCCAGCATGCTCACCTTCACAGAGGTGCCTTTAGTTTAACTATGGAACAGCAAGGATGTGGCATGCGTAGAAGCAGAGTGAATTTCAAAGTGACAAATGGAGGGAAAAGCTCTGCAAGAGGGGCCAGATAGGGTGTCCCTTGTTCTTGGTGAAGATGAGCACCATGTTACAGTCTGGGAAAGACCTGTTAATATGTGGGAATCTTCTGCCTATTCAGCTACCACTATTCTGTACTCAGAGGAAATGCAAGAAGCTCGGTGTAAACCCAAATCTTACTGCTGCTACAGGGGTCTTCCCATGTATGAGGTACATTTCTGAGAAAACAGTTGGTACCCCTAACCCCAGATGGTGCTACTCCACATACCAACTGTGACTTCCCTCTGTACAAATATACCTATATACCCATGGTACACGAAGAGAAATCTAATAGGAAAACAGGAGTTGTTCTTTTTCACATTTTTTCTGACCACAGGTAATAGAATGAGTAAGATGTAGGCAAAACTACTCCTGCCAGAGTGGCGAGTGAAGCCCGGGCAGCTGCTGTACAGTGGTTTCTACTTTGTTTCTGTCTTGGTCTGTGGCCACAAGTGAGACTTATGAGGGACCGCAGGCTCAGCTTGGAGCTGAGCCAGTCTCCTTGGGCCTCACCTAGTGGGAACTCAGCCGGGGGCACAGCCTAGGTCCCTGGGAGGCTGGACCAGCTTCTAGGACAAAGGTCAGTCCAGCACCACAGGCTGCAAAGGAAGACAAAGAGCCAAATGGAGTAGAATTAGGACATAAGAGAAGCAGAGGATGACATTTTCATGTGACTAGGGCCTGGTGTCTGGCTTTGGACAGCCAGAAAATAGCAGGTTTGGGATAGTGCCTGGAGATAAGACCTTGGCAAGGGTTTGGACATTTTAGCCTGTTTTCTCTTTAGCTCTGCCTTGAAGAGGCTTAAGTAATGTCGAAGGGCTTGTGAGCTGGGAGCCTGCTCCCCAGTGTGGAGGGTCTACAGGATGGCAGACCTTCAACAGGCAGAGCCTAGCACAGGGTCATGCAGGAATCACCCTCATGCAAGTTCTCATGAGACCATTAGCTCTCCAAGAGGGACTATATCATGTCTCATGTGCCTTGTCCCAGTGTCCCTGTCATAAAGCCACTTGCCCTGAGAAGACACATCTAGCATGTCCCTCGCCAGAGACAGTACTATGCTGTTTGAACTTAGTGTCCCCCAAATTGTGGATTAAGTAAACCTCTGTTCTTTGTAAAGTAGCCTGACTCAGTTGTTTTGTTACCATAATGCAAATGGTAGAATAGTCAAACTTTGCAATGGTAAAAAAAAATATTCTGCCACATTTAGGTAAATGGTCAAGCAGTCTCCCTGTGGATATTCAGTGATAGGACTGAACTCTTCCTAGGGCATTGCAGGTACAATGGAGTTGAAGTCCAGATCTGTAATAGAGACCTGTCTCCTACTAGGAATGTGAAACCAGGAATAAAAAGGATAATTTCAGAGGTGATAGTCTCTGGTCATTCTTTCTCCACCAAAAGGATCCTAACCATTAATATCAGTTTGAAAATTTAGCTCTGACTATTTTGTTTCTGTGTCAGGGTCTCACTGTGTAGCCCAGGCTAGCCTTGAGTTTCCATCCCCCTTCCTCTGTCCTCCAAGTGGTGAGACTTCAGGTGAGCACTACCAAGTCTGGCAGCTGGCAATTAAAAGGGGCAGTTAGCCCCCAGCTGCTCCACCCTCCAGTACCCCACCAACTGCTGTCCAGATGCACATCTCAAATGTGTTTCCTTCTACACGCTGCCTTTCTAACCCAGAGCACAAGCCCCTGCCTCGTGCACACATCTACACCTCTGTCTCCATCCCTGTGGCATTATTCTTGGTCAATTGCTACCTCTGTTTTACATTGCTAAGACTGTAAACACTCTTCAGAGCTGAGTCAAGTCACCTGCTAGGTCATTTTTCCTCCGTACACCTTGTTCTCCCAGGAGTTAACAGTTATCCTAATGAATCAATCTCTCTAGACTACCCCTAACCTGGACTTCAGGAGGCTGACTGAACTTTCTAGTCATCTTTTTCCTATCCTACTTTTATTTTCCAAAAGCTGTTATTTTATTCTACAGTGACCTTTCCTGCCATCTATCTACTCAAGCGTTGTCTTCTTTTCTCACTCTGAGGTCAATAAGGGGAGGCTGGAGGAATTTTTCTTTTCTGGGCTAAGATGGTTTCCCACAGATTGATCTTTCTAGTTTGTTTGGCTCACTTTTACAGAAAGAACATTTACCCTTTTTGATAGTCCCAGGGAACTGCACACCAAGGTCAGTTCCTGGCTTCCTGAGAGGTTACTGGTGAGGCAAAGAAAGGAACGTGTGGGATGGGGCTGGGGTAGTTAACAAATGCACTTGATTTATTTAAAATAAGAACTCATCAAACTAGACACAACTGGTTTCCTACAGAAGGAAACTAATAAAATGAAAACTTCTCAAGGATGACAACCTCGACTACAGGCAGCCTTTCACCCATGGGAACTTCACCCAGAGATTCATTAGAATGCTAACTGGAAACACTGGGGGAGTCTATGGCTATATCATGCTGAATGCACCCAGTCTCACCAGTAGATACTGGGGGCAGACTTCATCTACACTGACTAATTTCAGACTGTTCTCCCTGCCATCACTCCCTAGACGGTACAGCAGATAACCCACATATATGGTATTTACACCCTTTAGGAATTATTAGTGATCAAAAGATGATTTAAGGTATATGGGAGGTGGGGTGGTGGGGCATGTAAAGGTGATGGCCGTTTATGTAAGGGACTTGGACAGGTCTTATTCTCAGAGGTTCTGGATACCAGTTCCCCAGGAATGCTCGGGGAAACTGTGTTTACATGTACACATCCACATGCTATTTTATCTCCTGGGTAATCAGAGTTGACAGAAGTACCTCTGTGTGACAATAATCCAGACAATATTAAATGAGGGAGGACTAAGGAGGACCAAATGAGACAATTAAATGAATCTTTATAAAGTAATTTACCTAAGAAACCATTTTTAATGGCTGCTACCTTCACGAAAACAGAGGCAACAGGACACCAGGTTAACAGAAGCACACAATACTGTATGTCAAGTATCCCTGCACAAAGCAGGCCGCGCCCTGGACAAGGATGTTATCACTACAGCAAATGCACACAGGACAGAGGCGAGCTTCAACAACATCACAGCTCCCAAGCCACCAGCTTCTGAATGGTAACTTTCATGTTCTGAGAGACAGGCACCGATGCAGTCACGATTTCCTCTGAGATCATGAAATGACATCTAACAGCTGGAAAATACTGAAAATGCTCTCACCTGACCATACAATGAGCTAATGATTCTAATACTGGCTCCTGTGCAACAAAGACTCCTAAGTCCCTGGCAGGTAACTGCTAACCCCTGTGAGAGAAGTTCCTGAGAGAGAAAAGGGTCCTTCCATTCATGGTAGCATTATCTGAGAGTTTCTGCCCAGGTAAGTCACGTAGGGGCCTAGAGAGTATGCACATGAGATGACTCAGGATAGAACTGGCTATGCCAGAAAGACCAATCATATGATTGTCAAGTTGGGGCTGGGAGCCAAGTGTGATTGCTAGAAAGGGACTAGATTTTTTTTTTTTCTTTTCAGTACTAGGGATCAAATCCAGGCATGCCTTACTAAGATAAATGCTCTACCACTGCTCCAAGAGTAGACACTAGTGCTGTGGAACAATCCTTTCCTATGCTATGAATATGTATTACTCTCATTTGCTAATAAAAAGCCGATAGCTGGGCAGGAAGAGATTGAGTGAGAGAGCCAGACTAGGAGAATGCTGGGAAGAGGAAGAGTGAAGTCAGAGAGTCACTGGCAAACGCAGAGATGCAAGATGAGAATGCCATACCGAGAAAAGTTACCAGGGCATGTGGCAAAGTACAGATAGAGATATGGGTTAATTGAAGTGTAAGAGTTAGCTAGTAACAAGCCTGAGCTATAGGCCAAGCATTTATAAGCAATATTCAGCCTCTGAGTCGGTTATTTGGGATCAGGCAGTCTGAAGAGAAGTGATTACACACCGGGGCACATAAGTTATGATCTATCCACTGTGGGTACATAGGGAAGCTGTGAGAAAACCCTGGGTATCACAGAGCTGAGTGGGCACCTCTTGCTGGCAATGCTGTTTGAAAGCTGCCATGTACAGACACCACAAAGTACCCCTGAGTACTTTTCACTGGAATGCTCTCTCATGCTCACCTGATAAGGTCCAAGGGCTGCTTCTTGTAGATGCTTCGAGGGTGAGCCCACTCCCTGTACAGGAGGTAACGTTCACTAGGACAGCTGGGGTCCTCTGACTCATAGTTAAATTTGCACTGAGAGGCAGAAAGGAAGAAATAAGCATCACAGTCTTCAGCATACAAATCTGATATTAAATATATCACAAATGGCCATTTGTGGTAGCTGGTGCCTACTTGCTGGAAGGAACAGCCATGCCATTTAATTCTTAGTGATTCTAAAACAAGGGTGACCACATTGGGGGTTATTTGGGAATAGAAATGGCAATGGATATTTGGATAGTGATGCTAGCAGCAGTCATTCCTAGAGAATAAGGTAGAGAGGTGGCTGGAGCCTCAGGGATGCTGATGTCGTGAACTGAGGCAGTCCCGATGAATGAGACAGCTGGGCCACTGAAGACCTCAGATCCTCACAATCAAGGAATATCTATCTGAAAGCACACTCCTTCTGGGATGGTGGGGGGACCAGGACTCTGGCTGGTTAGCAGCAGGCCACTGCTGTAGCCAGTGCTTCACTGTTCCTCAGTTCAGCATAGAAAATAAGTGACAAAGACTGTATCATGTCACTCATGCACAAAACCGTATTACCACAGAGCCCAGCCTTGGTGAGAGCCCTCATCTTTTGTTGCTTAACTCTCACACCACACAGGATCACTCCAGGCTTGGAGATAGGGAAGACCTGGGCACAGGCAAATGTTAATGAATATTCTAGGACTGTGGTGTCCCACACTAACATTCAGAGAATGATGCACAACTGGCCCTGAAGTTCAGAAGTTTCCGTTACTAATTTTGCTGGGGCACAAAAACAGAACAAACTTTCATACTGGGCGGCCACACTGGCTCTCCCTGGAGGCTCAGTCTTTGCCATCTTGCCTCTGCCTCCCTCTCTGCTTACCCATGTGAGTCAAGCACTTGTTTGATGTTCTAGTTTTGTTTTGATATATGGCACATTTTTAGATTGTCCCAACCCCAATGCACATAATACACAGTAGCAATGATCAAACTCAGGCCTTTGCTTTCTTTGATTGTAGAGACTTAAATTGGTTAGTAAATGCAACAAAGTAACAATGTGATTGATGTAGAATTTAACACATTTCAAGGACAGGATACAGTAAACAATTAGATACATGGCACCCTCCCACATATGTGGTCAGGAGGGACTAGAGTGATCACATTTAGAATTTTCATTCCATAGGAGATTCTAGAGTTTAAGAAATACTCCTGAAATCAATGGGTCACTGTAGCCTTTGCACAGTCCTTTCATAATGTCAATAATCTGAGGCTTTGTCACTATGACATGAACCCTACCAGGTAAGCTCCCTTTTAAAAGCCCTGGTATAGCCTGGGAAATAGTACTTTTAAGGGAGGGAAGTCTACTTACAGAAAATGTCAAATGAGAATTTCTAACATGTTTTCCTTACAAATCAATGGCTCCTGCTTCTTTCTGGTAATGACATGTTTTAGTAATTAAGAAAGTAGCCATCATTTAAATGACAGGGACTAATATTTTATATAAATTTAATTAACTCTCCAAACAACTCCATGAGGTAGGAACCATTACTACACCTTCCTTACTGATAAGGACATGTGGGAGCAGAGGCCATCTAGCCGGGGAGTAGAAGAGTGAGACTTTACTTCCAGACACCCACACAGCTGAAGCACTGACCTGTGTGATCTGCACGGCTTCCGCATTGCCCGAGGGAGGGAACTGTTCTTTCTCCCTAGTCCTTTAAACCCAGCACGGTCTCTACACCTTGGGTCTATCAGTGAAGGTGCTTTGGATCTTTCCTGCCCTGCATCAGCCTGTGATCCTTGTGATATTACCTTTGTCTTATAGAGGAAAGGACAGAAGGTCAAGAAGTCGAGTCCTGCCCTGTCAGCACCAGAGTACTCACTGGACATCTCCAGTGATGTCATCTGACTTACATCGTGCAGAGGGAACGCTGCCTTGTAGATTCCAGAACTGACCAGTCTATTGATCCCAAATTTGTTAACGTTATTCATCACTTGGTATTTGACTCGAGAGAGGATGAAATAAACCTAAAAAGATTTTGAAACAGAGCATGTTGTTTTCAGAGTAGAACTAGCTCATGCAATCATTGTTTATTACTATAGTAGAAATCTGTCCACACTGAAATAATACTAACAATACTAATAATAGTATTTTTTTTTATCTTTTAAAATAAGAACCACAACAGCCCAACCAACCGGTTAATTATTCAACAGCAGGTTTCAAATCACACCAAAACAGAAACCGTATTCCGTTCAGACTTACAATGCGGCTTCTGGTGGCAGGGTTGAAGAAGGAATCTCTATCAAGGATATAAAAATCATTCATCCGGCTTTTCTCAAATGGGGCAGTAAAGAACTCCTGCTCTGGCTTGATGACACTCTCATTCACACGGAGGACCTTGGTGAACCAGTTGAGGGTGCCGAAGGCTGAGCGGGTCTTTAGGTCATTAGGCTTCAGGGGGAGTTTGATGTGCATGATCTCAGCGTACGTGCACAGCACTTCCCAGGGTGCGTGCACTTTCACAAACACAAGCTTGTCATCAGAAACCTGAAGGAACAACAGAAACCAAACAACTATATTCACAATTTTAAAACACAGATGTTTCCCCCACTATGCTCCAGTAGGTTTTAAAATAAAAATCTATGTCCAGAGGACACTGGCAAAAGGGAAGATAATATCAGATCTGCAAATGATTATACATTTTTTACTTAAAGAGAATTCTTTAGTTTGAATTAAGAAACACAGAATTAGCAATTTTCTAAATATTTATTTTTTTAAGTTTTATTTGTGTGTGCATGTGTGTATGTGAAATTGTGCTGGAGGTCCCCCTTGGAGCCGGAGTTACAGGCAGACATTCTGAGAATAGGACTTTGGTTCTCTACAGGAGCAGGCAGCAAATGCTCCTAACTGCTGATACATTCCTCAAGACTCAAACTAATAACAGTTGAAGTGAGAAAAGCAAACTTAATTTGTTGCTACACAATGTATTAGTGACCTAAAATAACAACACTAGAATACCCATGGCAAGGCTGTACTAATGAAAACAATTTCTAAACCTGGAAATGGGCTGCTTAATCTATTTTATATCTATTCATTATGCTATATGTCCACTGATGAAAACAATTACCCTCTCTGCTATGGATCTGTTGTCTATGTAGTAAAGGAAAAAGCCAGTTACAAAACTGAAATGCCCCCCTCCCTTTGAAAGAAAGAAGTATGGACATGGTGTATCCATTGCTCACATGTGCGCAAGTCAGAGGGTGACTCTCAGTAATCAGCGCTCACCTCCAGCCATGCAATCTTGGGACTGAACTTGGGTCACCGGGCTTTTGTGGCATGTGCCTTTGTCCACCAAACCATCTCACTGGCCCGTGACACAAGCTTTGCCTGTCTCCTTTCCACTCTCTGTGCAGTGTGGTAGTGGCTGCATGTTTCCCAAGCCACGACTCAACTACAGGTGATGCACAAGCTCCCAACCACGGTGGGTCAGGAAGGGTTGCAAATAAACTAACACTTACTGATCGTGTTGCTTCCAGCTGCAGGCCGTAACAGATGAGGTTTGATTCATAGGCTTGTCTTTTCCTCTGAAACACGAAACAGGAATATATGTTAGACGGCCAGCCAAGTATTTGGGCCTTGAAGAGACATGTTTGCTCAAAATGGAACAGAAGCAATGAGCTGGTGATATGTAGGTGTTGGCCTCCAAGAGAATGCAAGAGAGTTCCCTGTGTTCTTTAGAGGGCCATGGTGGGGCTTTGGTCTTTTGGAGGTACATACAAATTTCTATGGCACAATCTCTGCCTCCCAAGACCACACAAAAGGAACTTTCTGAGTTTCATTCACTGATGTTATTTTTCAGATTTAAAGATTCCAGATTTTTAAACTTTTATTTTTATACTATATATTCAAATGATTCATAGTAAACACATTTAGATTTCAATACAGAGGGAGGGAGGGAGGGAG